TTTTTGCGGAACCTGGTATTGGACTCAGGCCCTTGCGCTTGCCAGGCAAGGACTTATTCTACTGAGCTATCTCCCTGGGCCCCTATCACTGTATATTCTGTTAGTTGTATATAACCCTGAAATATACGAAGTATAAATGAGTAACTTAAAGAGTGTGGAGAATGTGTTAGTGGAGAATATGTTTCAAGATGCAAGTAGGTTATGAAAACAAATTAGGATTGTGATTGAGAATATGAAGTGACAAGTATTCTAAATGTAAGCTATGTACATAGAATATATCATTGAACCACCAGTAATCCAAAAAGTGTATTGGTCCTATTTTATAGTTAAGAATACTGCAACTAGTAAGCTAAGACTACCTATCTTGTAAAATCATTTGAAATTTAAGTTAATACCAGGATTTGGGTAATCACCCTTTGTATAAAACGGATTTACTGCTAAGCAAACTTAGGAAAGAAATATGTTAATAGAAGCAGAATGACCCAGACAGGTCATATTTCAGTCAGAAATATATCCATTATAAAATATAGCAATGAAAATATTTTTTATTAATTACTTTCCTAAACATCAAAAGGTAAATTTTAACTGACTTAACTAATAGAAATAATGTTGTAACTATATCACAAAATTAGGAATTTTGACAAGTAGAGTGTGTGTGTGTGCTACTCCTAGAAAAATATGTTTAAAAGTAATTTTATTTTAAAGTTGTTTTTTTTTTTTTTTGTACTGGGGCTCAAACTCAGGACCTTGTGCTTGCCAGGCAGGCACTTATGCCACTGAGTTGTTTCCCCAACCCAGAAATGTTAAAAATAATTTAAAAAAATGTTTAAAGCTATTCTGAAATAAATGTGATCAAGAGTAAACACTGATCATCTTTTCTTTCCTGTTTGAATTCAACAAGTATTTATTGAGTGCCTACTATGTTCTAGGTATTGTTCCAGGTACTGGGGTCACAGAAAACAATTAAAGAGCCCTGTATTTCATCTGTGACCCTGGGCAAATCTCTGTACCTCTCTGTACCTGTAGTCAGCTGCCCAGCTGGGGAATAATCAGGATGGGTTTGAACAAGACTGATTATCTTTAAGTTTCTTGAGGCAAAGACATTTAAATAAATTTTGCAAGTACTAGGGCTTGAATCCTGGACTCACTGAGCTATCTCACCAGTGTTTTTTTCTTATTTATTTTATTTATTTTTGTACAGGGTCTCACTAGGCAGCTCAGACTCATAGTGATCTTCCTGTTTTCAGCCTCCCCCAGTGCTGGAATTACAGGTATATGCTGCCACACAGGGACTCAGTCAATGGTTCAGTGCACTTGGGGGTGGGGCTCACCAGTGTTTTAACAGAGGTTTTATGAGACAAGATCTCATTAAGCTACCCAGGCTGGCCTCAAACTTATGATCCCCTCACAAACTCAGCCTTCCAGTAGCTGAGACTGTAGCCACGAACCACCATGCCATAAGACTCTTCATTAAAATTATCATTTACAAGAGGTAGAAAAACTCAAATGTGGATATGATCCAGTTAGAAAACACCAGCAAATAACAAAGGCAAATACTACTATATTACTAGCCTTTAATATCATCAAAACACAGGTGCCTTCACTCCAGCCAATTGTTCTGGGTGATGAGAGTAGAGGCTGTTTTGTCAGTGCTCTGATGTTTTAAAGAGAAACTAAATACATAGATTTTTGATGTAAAAGCATTTGATCTTAAGATTTTGACCCATAATTAAGATTGGTTAACTTTTAACACTAATTTAAAAGCTGTATCTTGAGCTAAATTCCATGTATATTTTATTTATTTATTTATTTATTTATTTTAGTACTCCACCTCTTTATTGTCAAAATCACATGCAATTCAAAGTAACTGTCAATGAAGCTTCTGTTAAAAGATCTTCCAGCACACTGCTTCAGTTTTACGATTAAACAATATTGCACTTTAAGATAAGTTCAGGATTCTCTTCACGGAAAGCAAGTATTGTTTCATCTGTGCTTTTTCTTAAGACTAACAGCAGAAACTACTTTAAGAATCAGTATTTCAGGGTACAGTAACATAATAAAGTACCTATTTTAGAATCTTAGAGGTTACATTGTAAGAAACTCTTTATGTTTTTTAAAAATATGAAATTCAACTCAAAGATCGTAAATTGGTAGTTTTGTTCCTCACTGAACATGCAGCACAGTGCTAGATACACAGTAGCATTCCTCAAATAAGTATCTGGACAGTGAGTGAGTGATGGAGCACAGCAGTCTGCAGGAGCCATGTTGGCAAGATGGGAGAATCATTCAGTGACTGTAGCTGAGTGGAGTGTGAGTTCTAGAGAAAAAAAAATACAAATTTGTACTTATTTATGGAAGGAAGACCTTGGATTTCTGACTTTGATTTTTACGCTCAGAAAGCAAACAATTCATAATTTAATGGTATTTAAAAGTTTGGTGTAGAGATCTTTGACTAATCACTTTCAAGAGGTGTAAAGTCCAGTATCTTTTGAAATTTATACTACTTTCCCAAAAAGTAAATATGATGTTGTACTTATTATGCAAAGCAAGAGCTTCACTGTTCCCAACCTTAGGTAAAATATTAATTAAATGTAGTCTTTTGTTTTTAATCATGTTCTATCAATTATAATTTTAGCTATAGTAGCATCATATTATAAAAATGAGTACTTCTGCAGAGTGATGTCACCAGATACTCTGATTTTGTAAAAACAGGAATGACAAAAATTTGACTTTTATATAATATATTTACTTTAGCTGTTTAGCTTTTTAAAAGAGAAAACATCTTGTCAGGCAAACAAGCTGAGTTTGAAAGCTCTAGCCATCCTGTATGTCTGTGGTCTGAGAACTCCATATTAAAAATCACCTAAATGGAGGGCTGATGAGATGGCTCAGTGGTCTAAAGCACTTACTTAGAATAAACTTAGCAAAGCACAGGGACCGTGGTTCAATCCCCCAGCACCACATGCCAGCCAGCCCCGCCCCCTGGTGGGCTGAGCTGGCCACACACACACACACACACACACACACACACACACAAATAAATAAAAAATAAATTAAAATAAAAAATCACCTAAATGGCAAGACCAAAAGATGAAGGGAGAGGGAAGGCAAGAGGGAAAAGTAAAGAGAATTAAGATGTGTTATTTAGGGGCCAGGGAGATAGCTCAGTAGAATAAGCACTGACTGGCAAGCACAAGGTCCTGAGTTCAATCCCCAGTACCACAAAAACAAAACAAAAACCTAGAAATATAAATAAATAAAATTTGGGGGCTTGGGAGATAGCTTAGTAGAATAAGTGCCTGCCTGGCAAGCACAGGGTCCTGAGTTCAAACCCTGCAACCACCATAAAATAAAAAAAATTCAGGGCCAGGGAGTTAGCTCAGTAGAATAAGTGCTTGCCTGGCAAGCACAAGGGCCTGAGTTCAATCCCCAGTTCCACCAAGGAGAAAAAAAAAAGAAGGGATGTGTTATGTATCTGTATGAATTCCTTAGGAGGAGTATAATAATTGTGTACTGCAAACATGCACTAATAAAAATAAATTAAATTTTAAAACACTTGTTTTAATATACTATTAATAGATTATTATTATTGGAAAAAAGAGAATTCATTCTTTAAAAAATTTTTTAAAATTATTTGTTTATTTATTTGGTACAGGGTCTCACTATGAATCTCAGACTGGTAGTGAACCTCCTGTCTCAGCCTCTCTGTTGCTGGGTTTACAGGCATGCAGCACTGGGGATTAAACCCAGGTCCTTCTGCTTGCCAGGCAGGTGCTTAGACCATCAAGCTATCTCTCCAGCCTGAGAATTTACTATTTCTGCAAATTACATTTTAACATTGAGATTCAATTTCTGTCTGCATGTATCTCAGTTCTTATTCATGGATGCTGAAATGTAGATTATATGTATTTACACCTGCAATTTGAACCTATTGCAAATATGAGCTCAAAAAAATATTTTCCCTTCTTTCTTCTGGAATTCACTGATAAGAGCTGTAGAGAGTGGTATGTTGGTTTGGCTAGAAGAAAAAAATTAAGCATAGAACTCCTGAGAATGAAAGCTGTGGAACAAGTCAAGCAATTGGCCTAGCTGATGGACCACCCATGGGATCTCAGTATTCTGTTGTTATCTTAGCAATAGAACATTTATGGGGGCTCATTACACAATGAAAAAACATTTTTATTCACAGAAATTTCCATACGTAAAAGGGAATAGAGACATTTGCACTATGAGCCTCTTAAACTGTATTTCTCACAATGTTTCACTTTTAAAGAGCTACATCTTTTAAAACATCACATTTCAAGTCCTCCTCTGGAATTTTAAAATAAATAAAAAGTAATGTAGACTTAGAGGAATAATAATGACAATAATTTGATCTTAAAGGGCATGTTTTTAATTTATAAAGGTTAACAATGGTTCTGGTAGCCTGACCGCAGGCTCTTTAATCTTGTGCACTGTGGATGATACTCGACTTACTGAGACAGTTGCAATGGCAGACCCATTGCTTTGCTTTGTGTTCTGTTCTGATATGGGCCTGCCTTGGTGTTTGAAAATGCTTATTCTAAAACACCTTGCTAATGCTTGTCATCTACCCAGCACAAAGGCTATTATCTTCTTCACAATCTTTAAAGTTTTACAACAGGGATGATTTACTAGTTTAGTGGCAAAATATTAACCCTGCTAGACTGTTGGAGCAAATTTGTAAATAATTCCTTAGTGTTATAAGATTTTTATAAGTGCTTTTATTATTAATTTTCCAAGTTTTTCCTCTGATATATAGCTTTAGGAGGATAGCATTATATGTTCTACCATTACTTTAAAGGCAAATGAATTTAGTAATTATTTACTATAAAGTTTTATGATATTCCTAAAAATAAATATTTTTTTCAGTTGAAATATATCTTGGTATTATAAATTTTAAATGCTATCAATACACAAAAAATGATCAATTTGTGACTAATGTTTATAAAATAAGCCTGTTGTGGAATTGATAGTGGAATATACTTGGATATATTCCAATTTTTACAATCTTAAAATGCTGTTCTAATTTAATCTTTCTTCTCTGTTAAAGAATAATATATTTACTTATTCTGAGCAAAGAACAATTCATGTAACAGTTAATTCAACATATATTAATGCATTATTAAATTTATTAGATGGTGTAAAACACCCTGTCTTGTCTGGAATAACAAGATAATACCCCTTTCTGATCTGTAGCTCATTCTTCAATGTTTTCTGTAAAATGTGGGGACAACAACATAGCAGAGTCTGAATTTCCCAACACACAAACACGCGCACACACACACACACACACACACACGACATCTGCATGACATGTATGTAGTTAGTACCAGTGATGAAAATATATATTCATGGGTAAATTAATACATGCAGGCTCTACCACTTTTCAGCTCCCCCCCCCCCCAGAACTGGGGATTGAACTCAGGCCCTTGTGCTTGCCAGGGAAGCGCTTATTCTCCTGGGCCATCTCCCCTGCCCCTCCACCCATTTTATCCCTTGAAATTGAGAGATTTTGTTTTTTGGTCAGTAAGAAAAAAAATATTTGGGGACTATTTTCAGGCACTTTGATTACTTTAAAAGTTTTCCAGAATCCTTCAAGAAAACAAGGAACAAAATAATGAAACTGCTTTTCATACTGTTCCATTGGATAATGATGGGTTATAACAATAAGTTTTTAATTCTTTTCAGGACATTAAAACTCTCTTTTTAAGGGCCAGCAAGGTAGCTCAGTGGACTAAGCGCCTGCTTAGGCAAGTGCAGGTACCAAGTTAGATTCTCCAGCATCACATTGAGCTGGCCACTTAGATCCGGCATGGTGGCACATGTCACAGCACCGGGGAAGCTGAAAACGGGAGGATTACTGCGAGTTCAAGTTGCGTAGTGAGAACCTGAACCAAATACATAAAAAAATCTTTTTATTGTATTTTATTTTTTTAGCAGCAAGCTTCTCAGCAGTGTCGTTTTCCAGACTTGGGAGGCCATTTACTTTTCAGTGTGGTCTAAAATATATTAGATACAGTATCTGATGACCTTCGTTTATCTCATATCACATTGAATAACTTCATCTCATTCTCTTATCTAAAATATTTACGAGTGCATAAATACTTCTTAGAGTTGTTTAGAACCTGACTCACTTAAAACCCATACCATGCTCTGAATTGTTTTGCATCATTATTTCCCTTCACTATTCGCCACTTAAATCTGTCCTCATACTCTTTTTCCTCACTCAGGCGACTTTCTCAGGAATCCCCTTTCTGTCTTTGCACGTGTACTGCTCAGAATCACCGCACAGTGGAAGACTTACATTTTTCCCCAACAGATGCCACTGGACAAGCGTCCTGTCTGCAGTTGATGATGCAGCCACAGGGCAAGTGGGCCCAGCGTTTGGACAAGACAAACACAGGGGTCACAGTGGTGGCCAGCAGGGTTAGTAGAAAGCCCACGGTCTCGAAGGGAAGGCACTGAACCCCCGCCACTCGCTTGACCACCATGTGGATCTGGAAAGATGAGAGAGCTTCAGACCTCACCTCAATCCCATTTTCCACTTCCCAAGCCTTGCCTGTAAGCACACAGCCCTGGTCCCCTTCTAAGTCCCTTTTCCTGATAAGAGAGCTAAGAGCTTGCTCTCTGTGGATTTTAGGGCTGGGCTCTCGGGATCCCGTCTCTCAGGATTCCACCGGCTTTGGTACTTTTTGTCCCTGAGTGCCGGGTCTGCACCCGCTGCTAATTAAAATCTCCACCAGAGAGGCATGAAATACAGCTTGAAGTAACTACCCAGGGAAGCATGGGGCCCATAGAGCCAGGAGCAGGCACTTCAAAGGCCTTCGCCACAGCAACCAGAGTCTCAGCCCCACCCAGGCGCACATTGCGATCGAGCGCCTCTGCCGCTTCTCCAGCCAGAACAAAAGCCAGCTCTGCTTTTCCGCACGCAGCTCGGCTCAAGCTCAACCTGCTCCTGCTCTGCCTGCTGGAGAGAGGCCGAGCAGAAAGGGATGACAAAGAGTGAAAGGAAAACCTTACCCAAAAAAAAAAAAAAAAAAAAAATCCTCCCTCTCTCTTTTCTAAATAGTCCCAGATTTTGCAGTGAGGCACGCGAACGCTCTCGACCACAACAGAAAACTTGCAGCTCGCGGCCGAAAGTGCTCCTCTGCCTTTCAGTTCTGAAAAAATTACTCGGTGGCAAATGCAAAGGCTCCCGGGTAAGGTGCCGACCGGGCGCTGTCTTCCTACAAAGTGTGTCGCTTCCTGTAACCGAGCCTTTGGAACGCGAAGGAACCTCTGCGAGCTGCGGCTCCCCAGACCCACCCCGCTGGGCTCCACTCACGCATACCCGACACACACATCCTCGCGTCGGGCAACGGCATTTTTACCATCAGGGGCAGCCAAAGAATGACTTTTGTCAGCGCTAGAATCAAAGCGAAGCGTTTCTGCGCTGTCCTCCTGGTGAAGCTCCTGGTGCCATAGAGAATCCCCGGGTGCAGTCTACGTCTGCAGGCTCCGGTCCCGGTTCCAGAGGCCGGCGGACGCGGCCCAGACCCGGATTCTGAGCTCGGGGAGCGCGCCTCTGGGCCGGGCGGAGCGGGACCTGTGGCATCCCCCAGGGACAGGGACTGCTCTCTCCCTCCAGAAGGAGGGGTCCCGGGAGTGGATGATCTGCAGGAAATTTCCTGGTAGTACGTGTGGAGTCTCCATGGCTCCTCGGAGCACAGCAACTGGTGAGTGAGCGGGAACGAGAGACCGGCCAGGAGTCCGAAGGCCGAAGCGTACACGGCGAAGAGGAGCAGCACGTAGGAGCTGGAGCCGTCTGCCAGGCAGCCCCAGGGCGTGCGCACGAAGGCTCCCCAGCCGCAGAGCGGGAGCGCGGCGAGTCCCAGGCTGGCTGCCCACACGGTGAGCGCTGCTCCGAGCACCCGGCCAGAGCGTTTGGACGCTTCCTGGCTTCCCACACCCCTGTGCATCGTGTAAAAGTTATAGGAGACTAGAAGAGTCGCCTTCAAGTTGCTCGAGAGCCCTTGGCACAAATACAGTAAGGCAGAGGTGGTGCACAGAGACTGGAAGTAGCCAGGAACCTCTTTTGGCCACTGCAAAAACATAAAGATAGTCACAGACAGGACGCTCATGAGATCATCCACAGACCAAGAAGCCACAAGCATGGACACAACAGTTCTTTTCTGCAGTTTCAGCAGGGAGACTAGTGAAAAAATGCTGCCTGTCAGAGCCGCAAAAGTCATTACACATGTCAAGCAAAAAAGACAGATATTTAAAGTTCCTGAAGAACTGGAAAGGTCCGTAGAATTACGACTTTCTTCCCGTAGGCTAGAACCGTTTAATAAGTTACTGAAAGACATTGTCCTTAACTAATATTAATTTCCCTTCTCAGTGGATCTAATGATTTTCTCAAAAGAAAATATGACCGTTGCAAATAGAAGTCATTTCTCCTACCAAGTTTCTCTCTAGACGTTTCTCTGGTCAGTCCTGCAGAAAACGGTCAGGCATGTTTCCTTTAGATGTGACTCAACCCATATGTAAAAATTGGATTCCATTTCAGACATCGACAAAAGTTTTCAATCTTCCAGTGAAAAACAATCAAGCCCTAAACTCCCTTCCACCACCCAGTGTCAGGCCGGAGAGCACAGACTCCTCAGATAGATTTAAAAAACAATGATGCCTGGATCCTTTTGGGTCCTCTGGAGCAAAGCAGCTCCCAGCTTGATGTAATCAAACTCTATTCATTTCTAAAAGCAGTAAAAGCATTTGGTTCCAAAGAAGCTAAATTCAAAGGCAGAGAGATTATCAGGTAAGTGTCAAGTCTGATGGCAGGGGAAGAGCGAAAGGGAAAGGAACCGAGGGAGAGAGAGGCAAAGAGAAGCTGAGAGGAGAGATAGAGTGGAAAGGATGGTGAAGTGGTGAAGGGGGGGAGGGAG